CCCCCCCCCGGCCGCCATGATGTGCCTGGAGCCACCCCATCGCCAGTGCCTTCAAAATGGCGGCAGGACGCCTCAGGGAGGGCCCTGTCCCCCCCGGCACGGACATCTTGGCCCTCTCTCCTGTGAGGTGCTCAGGTGGTGGCCGTGCCGGCACTGTCCCCTCAGGGCTGGCAGGGGACCCGCCGAAGGTGCGTGGCACCCCGCTGCCCTGAGGGGCGGCCCTTCCCCTCAGAGCCCCTGGAGCAGGTTCTGGAAGCGCTGCCACCTCTCCCAGCCGCCATGTTGCCGTGAGGCTGGGGGGGAGCGAGGCCGTGGCAGGGGGCCATGTGTGCTCCTGGGAGGGGACATTGCTTCAGCCGGGCACCACGGGGTGGCCATCATGGCCAGGGAGCTGCGGCTGAGCCTCAGGGCCGCTCCCCTGCCCTCCATGAGCCCTCACCCCCCGCTCCTCCGCCTCCCCTCAGGGGGGAATCCTAGGTGAAGATTACCTGCAGATCATGAATTCAAGGATTAACCACAATAACGCGTCTCCCAGGAAATTAATGTCACAAATGTTGGTGTCCCTTGGCCACCACCTTGCCTCCTTTGCCCGGCTGGAAGCTGGTGGGCTCCAGCTGTTTGTTTTAATTACACCCCCCATCAGCAAAATCTCCTCAGCACACACCCTCCAATATACGCTTAATTAGTTAATTTTAAATCCTATGCCCACACTGCTGCTGTTTTCTTTGCAGACCCCTGCTGTGGTTACCCCCCCACCCAGCCTGTGCCTCTCAGATACCAGGGGCGGCTTTTTATACTCAGAAAAATTAATTTCACCCAAAACGTGCCAAGCACCAGCTGCACCTGAGCACCCACAGCCTCAGCTCTGAATTTATCATTAACCAGCTCTGCCTGGGGGCCAGCACCGGCCCATGCCTGGGGCAGGGGGGTAAATTCCCTCTTCTTGCACAAAGCCCTCCTGCTCCCCAGCGTTCCCCCCTCTCCTTCGGGAAGTGCGGAATTTTTTCCCCGCTCCTCCCCGCATGCACCGACCCCTCCGCAGCAGCCTGGCTCTTTCGCAGCTCAGCCTGGCAGGGATCGGCTGCTGCCGACAGCTTCTTCACCTGCTCAGAGCCTCCCTGCAAGCTCCTGGCTGGACGACCCTGCCCGCTTTGTATTTTTCACCGAGGCCACTGATGTGAGTAGTAGTGATTTTATTTTCCCCCTCTTCTTTCCTTATTTATTTTCAGATCTATTCCACATCTTTTCCTCCAGGAATCAAGCCTCAGAGCCCTTTCTTCCCTCCTCCTGCCTCCCGCTTAACCCCGCTGGAGCTTTGCATTTCGTTGGTTCCTGGGCTGCGGTGCCGCAGAGGAGGTGCTTGGGGACACCCAGGTGGGTGCTCAGCTGGGACCCCGGCTGCGGAGGAGGTGGCTGGAGGGTGCAGGACAGAGCCCTGGACGGTGGTACCGTAAACCAGCGGGCGGATTTTAAATTAACCCGAGTGCCCCTGTCTTCTTTGTCAATGACTTTTTTTCTCCTACTGAGGTCAACAAAAACCATTTTGCTCTTCTGCAGAATAGAAACTAGGTCCCCTAACGCTCCACTTGCATCTAGATTAATTTTAAGTGAGTCCCCTGCAGCTGGAGGCTGAATCTAATGCCTGACCACGTCCAGCTTTCCGCTGCTGCCACGTGAAATCCTACACAGGGGAGTTTTGACTCTCAGCTGGTTTTGAGACATCTTCTTCTGCCTGGTCTTTCGCACCCTCCTCAGGAGCACGTTTTCTAGACCAAAAGCATCCAACAAGTCTGTTTAGTGCTTGGGTTACCCTGAGGTTTCTCATGTGCACAATGCCAAGTGCTGCAAGCACCAGACCAGCAACGGTCAGTCCCGTAATCCCAACGATGAACTCGAAAAGCCCCTTTTTAATGACGGGTGCAGGCCCACTGTCAACGCTTCCCCCAAAGCCAGGAAACTGGCAGTGGGGAGGTGCCCAGCCGCTGTCACAGTGGCAGTTTCCTCTCGTGTTGCAGACGCCTTTTCCTCTGCACGTTCCCTCGGCAGAGCAGCGGGATGTCAAGTACTTCTCCTCGGGGACGCACGTCCGATTAATGCAGATCCTGTTCTCCCCGCACCGCGTGCCATCCCGAACAACGCCGGCATCCAGAATGTCCACGCCCAAGTGGTAGTCGGTGCCCCAACACCAGGTATCGCCCACCAGCGTCTGGATGATGGTTGTGTGATCTTCCAGCTCAGGCAGACGTTGAACGTTCGTACACTGTATCCTCCCGCACAGGACGTTCTCTGGCTTACATTTCTGGAAGCTGACATCTGCCCCATCTCCCCAGCAATTGCCAAACCGATCGCCTTTCATGTTCACCTCCTGGAAACACGGTAGCGGAGCAGGCTTTGCTTCCTTGCCAAAGATACTCCTACACTGTAACGTGGGAGATTGGCATTTGCCTGCATAACAGTACCCGTCCTCAGCGCACACAGTCCCGTCTTGCTTGCCCACATCGGCCGGGCAATGCTCCGACGTCCCATTGCAATACTCGGGCAGGTCACAGACACCAGCACTCTGCCGACACACTTCTCCTTCTGGAAGAGGTTTGCAATTCTTACAGCAGCCTCCAGAAGTGCAAATGGCTCCTTTTTTTTTTTGACAGGTATTGTCACAGCAACCATCCAATTTACACTGTGCTTCTGAGCCGCAGTCGCACTCCTCCCCAGCCTCCAGGATGCCATTCCCGCAGCTCTTCAGTGCAACCGTCATTCCTGATTCTGGGGCGTTGTTAAGGCAGAATCCTTGCCCTGATGCTATAAAATCAAAATAGTGCTTTTTGCTGCAGTTGCTGAATTGACAGTTCACTGTGCCCTGCGTGCTCATGATGCATTGGGAGGTGTTCCCACACCTGCAGGATCCGTCATCGTGCCTCATGCCAAGGACGTGCCCTAACGCACGAGCGACGTGGACGGCAGTGTCCATGTAGGGCCGCTTTGCAAACGACACAACAGCAGAGGCGCGCTCTTTATCGCACGCGCTGGCGAAGTTGGATGTGCCGCCTGCGTGCGATGCTCCCACACCACCATCGAAGTCCATCGAGGCGAAGAGACACGCCACATCGTGCGCGGCGTACGTATGGCTTTGCTGCTTCCACCAAAGGTTAAAATTATCAAGGACCTCGGTGATGTTTTTGGTCACACGGATGGGGTTCTTCTCCGCCCAAACCTCTAGTGCAGTTATCAGAACACGAAGGTGGAAAGAATAAAAGAGCCCGTCCACCAGATTGATTATTTCAAGAACTTCCAGCATCACGTTAGTTATACTTCCACCAAAGGCGTCAAAACCTTCCTTGTCCACCACGACAAGGAGCTCCAAGTACCGCGTGTGCCCCCGGGGCCGGAACTGCCCAGTCGCTCTACCAGGAACTGGAAATTGTCCCTCTTTGCTGGTCATGTTGTACACCACCATTGCAGGAACTGCCTCCTCCCTCTGCAACAGAAGATGCTCAGCCGTGGAGGAAGCTGCCAGGGGCTCGATGCTGTAGCTCGAGTTTCCAATCTGCAGCAGTCCCCTGAGCCCAGCGCAGGTCGTCAGAGTCACCGCGGAGTCGGGGATGCCCTCCACGTAGCCGTGGTAATAGCAATCTGCTGGCACGTGGGGCTGTTCGGCCACAATTGCCCCCTGGGAGTCCCGAGTGAATATGGGGAGGGATTTTATGACGAAGTCTGTCTGCCTAAGGTGAATCGTGTAGTTTATCCCCTGAATACTGATGCCATAGGACACTTCATCCTGGCTGGCTTTTCCTGCCCTGGGGATGAGTTTCCACGGGATGACTATCTCGTAGGTGGCATAGCCCCACGAGGGCTGGGGGCTGCCATGGGCACAGGGCAGCAGCAGCCCCCACAGCAGAACAGAGAGCCCGAGGAGGAGAACCCCACCGCCCGTCGGGGCACACCGTGGCTGTGTCCGGCTTGGAGCCATGGGCACTGCTTCCCAGGCTGGAGGAAAGAGAGGAAAATGCAGACGCTGAGACATCAGGAAAGCCGCTGTTAACTCATCAGCAAAGATCCCAAAGATCCCTCCTTACCACCAGGACACCGTCCTTGGGGTCTGGCCTCTTCTCCCTGCTCAGCCTGCAGCCAGCCTCCTGCTCCCTTCATCCAAGGTGCCTTTTCTTGGCTCTTCCTCGGCTACCTGGCCACAAGGGAGCCAGTCCGCCCACCATCCAACCTCCACGGAGCAGGGCAGCGCGGGGCAAGAGCTGCCAGGGGCTGGAAGCCGGGCAGAGCTGCTCTTGGGGCTGGAACAGAAGGGCTGGAGGGGCAACTGTTTCTCCAGCTCCACTTCAACCCAAACATTCCGTGGGGAGAATGGGAGCCAGGCAGCGGCACAGGCACGAGCGAGCAGCACCTTAGATACAACCCAGCTCATCGCCACGAGCCTGCTGCACCCTGCTTGGCCTGACCCCCTTTGCCGAGAGCGAGGAGCCAGTGCTGCTCCAGCAATTTGTTTAAAAGGGGATTAGGCCTTGGTAAGTGGAAAGGAACAGATTACCAGGGAAATAATGATTTGGTTGCTAATGGGACCTTCAGCTGCCGCAGAGAGCCTCCAAATCCTGCTGACAGCTATCCATGCAGGGCTCATCACTCAGCTGCACACGTCGCTGGTTTAACTATTTGAGGGGAGTTTTCTTGCTGGAAAGGGAGCGGCATTCTTTGGGCCACTCACCCTTCTATGAACAGCTTGCAGCTGGTTTGGCTGCATTCAGTACTCCCAGGATGCTTGGAAATTGTTCTTGCACGCACTCCCCCATGCTATGGATGCTCTGGCAGTCACTCGCCATCCCACACACTATTCACATCCCTCTGCCCGGTACCTGGCCAGGTGCCCTGCCAGCCCGAACAAAGGCCAACCCGTTCCTCATCAGCCAGTACCTCCCGTGCTGCCGCTCCAGCCACCGGCAAAGCACAGCACCCCACACGGATCCTTATCCTAAAGAAACTGGTTCCTGGAGGAGCTGTTATACCCGAGAGGGGGAAACATCACTGAACACATAACGACTTGTCCTTCCATTCCCTCACTGCCCAAAGTTGCAGCCGCAGTAAAAATTTGATAGACCCTGGGGGTTAACCCGCAGCACTGGGCATGAGCTGCTGCCATCTAAAGGGAAGCGGCGCTTAGAAAGGAAAAATTCCAGGTTCTGTTGCCAGGCAGAACACAGGATTTTCTGGGGCTTTATCCAGCCTATCCCATCAGCCATTCGCTCATCTCAAAGCCTCACGGCACTCCTACAAAATACAAAGCAAAGTGATTCTCCACGTTTGTCAGGCAGGCGGGATGGAGGACCCAGCATGGCGGGACAGGGCTGGGGGTGGCAGGAGCAGCGTGGTGGCAGTGGCACGGTGGCAGTGGCAGCAGCACATTTGTGCCCTCCAGACCCCAGCTCTCCTTCTTCCCTTCTGTACTACAAGGATTTGGGACCCAAACAAAAGCAGACAGTAACTTTTAAGTTTAGTAAAATCATTTATATACACCGATGTGTAATATTTACAATATAATACTGATCCAAAATAAACAAACTTATTACAGGTAACACTGAAAAGGAGAAATGAAAACATTTTCATACACAGGAATTAAACATGGCGTATGAGGACACTCAGATTTCCAAAAGAAAAACCTGAAGTAATGACAGCAAAACTTTGACATGTTGCTATTTCCAATCAAAAACTCTTCCGTCTAGTCAAGTTCTTCTAAATTTTTAATATATCTATAGCTTAAAATAATCAAGTCACAGGAGAAGTCAGATATACATAAAATTTTGAAAAGGTCAAATGATTTCAGACATTTTTCTCTTAAATAAAATTCTAAAAAAAACCAACCCTACAGAGTTTTCCCATATCCTTTTAGTTTTTCTAAACATGACCCTTCCATCTCAAGGTATTTACAATATTCACAGTCTGCTGTAAAGGATCAGTAGATTCATTACCAGGTAAAACCTCACACAACCAAGACAAGGTACCTGGCATTTATGCCAGCTGAAAAAGAAACAACCCAGGAAGAGGAAAGGAAAATACTACTTTAAGATACGTCAATTAATCTATTAAAGCGTATTTAATTTTGAAATCTAAAACTTTAACTTTTAATGAGTAAAATAATCAACTTTCTCATAGAAATCAAACCATTTGACCTTGAATCTTCAAGTTCTGTTTTCTTCGTCTGTCCCTCCCTACCTCTGTTTTAGATCAGCCCACTCTTATTTATCACAGACAATAAAATCAATCCTCAATCCATAAAAAGCAGTTCCTCATTCACAAAAGCCTTTAGAAATTTGCCGTCCCTCGACACTTTGCGGCCAGTTGCGGATGTATCCACCTCAGTACCAACACCAGCTTGAAACCATCCTTCAGCGACCACAGAGAGGAGGGACCCACTAACGCACGCTCACACCCCACCTTCTCCTGCTTATGTCCGAGCCGCTCTGGCTGTCGGGGAGCAGCGGTTGCTCCTGCACCCCCGGGTGCTCCCCACCACGCCAAACACACGGCAGTACCGCAGGAATGGGCTGGAGCCACTGCCCGGAGGCACCGCAACGCACGAGCCAGGCTGCTCTCGCCTCTGACACCACAGCAACCTGCCAGAACCGAAACGCGTCCCAGCCTGCTGCGCCCCGAAACACGTCTCAGCCTGCTGCACCCCAAAACACATCCCAGCCTGCTGCACCCCATGTTGCTCGCAAGGTGCTCGGATGGTATCAGGCTGCGGCATGGCAGCCGTCCCTGCCGACTGCACTCTGCGTCGACCAGGAGAGCAGCTACGATCTGATCCATTTTCCTGCTAACAGGTTCTGACTCCCTGCCCGAGGATTTTCCTCCTGGGAGGGCAGAGTTGCAAAGTGCTTTTGCGGTGAATTTTTTGCACTCCCATCCAAACAAAGGTGATTTCCTTGTTTGTTTCTCTATTTGCCATATTTAAAAGTTCCACTACAATGAGATTTCCCAGTCAAAACCCATGGATTTCCAGTTAAAAAGGAAACGATCCATTACATTTAAAGATTGCGTGGATGTTGCCACGACCTAGAATTTAGGGCAAGGACAGAAATGTCTGTAATAAGGCCTGCAAACTTGATGATGCTCCAAGAAATGACAAATTGTCTCTTGCTAATTCTCTGCAGTTGTCATCGATACATGTCAGTGCACAAATACTCCATGTAGTGTCAGAGGTATAACTCTGGCTTTCACAAAAATTCCCTGTTTCCATCAAGAGAAGGTGATGGTTAAGCAGGGACTGTGGTTCTTGCTCTGCAATAAATCAGGCATTGGAAACTGTCAACAGGATTAAAAGAAAGCCGACAAGGTGCTGACAAAGAATGGGAAATGAAATATCTCCTTCATGTAGAAAAATGAAGTCACTGTTTACAAAATTTTATATAGAAAGACGCAGACACGGGTTTGCCATCCAAGCGAAAGGTTGCAAGGAAGCCTGGTATAGAAAAAAGACAAAAAAGACCAAGGCTGGACTGCCGTAGGAGTGAATTGGGAGACTCATGGCTCAGGTTTGTAAATGTAAACCCAAAATGAATGAGCTATGAAACAGAACAATGATGTTCAAGAGTCATTACTAATAGCCCTGAATTGGCACTTCAGTCTGCAGATCAAACTGATTGGACATCTGCATGGGGTTAGTACCAAAATATCTCTATAAAAAGCCTTCGACTAGTCTCAGAAGAAAGAAAAGCATCAGAAGGTAGAAAACTAGAAATATGTACAGATTCTTTTCATTTGTTTGTTTAATTAAAATTAAAAAAACCCAAACAAGCAGCTTTTTGAGACAATGTTCCAGAGCAGCGTAAGAATCTGCCCTGGGCTGCCTCATGGTCCAGGAGCAGCCCTGCATCTGTTGCTCCCCCAGGAGCTGGAAGGCATCAAAGAGATGCGGAGCTCGGACTCCAGCAGGTGACACAAGAGAAGGATCACCGCTGGACCCACACAGCAGCACTAGGACCCTTGTCCGGATGATCTCTTTCAAACAACCGAAGTTTGAAACCAAGTGTTGGGTTTTCTAGAAAGGAAAGAATGGAGTACGTGGGTGGAACACACCCAGCTGCTGAAGCAAGCGAACCCCACACTTGTCCATAGAAGATGAAAATAAAAATAACTTGTACATAAGTAACTAGAACATTCTTTATTCTGCTGTTGACCAAGATGATAAAAAGAGGAATCTTATGCCAAATGGCCAATTCAGCCTTAAAAAAGGTCTGAGGAAGACGGGGAAGAAGAAAAAAAGAGGACTACTGATGAGAATGGAAAAATACAGCATGGAGACGGACGCGGGCACCCTTGGCAAGGCCAAGCGTGGCTCTCGAGTCATCTAGCGACCAGAAGGCTACGCAGGCGCCTCTACAGAAAGACTCAGAATCCAGGCGCAAAGGGTAGCTATGACGTTTGTGTTTCACAGCGCTTGCTTCAAGTACTTACTGAGCAGGGTGTGGAGAAACTGTGGCTGTCTTGTTCACACACACAGTCACTGCAGCTGGCTGTACGTACAGCAGATGGAAGGCAGCTTCTGCAACGGGTTATTAAGAAAAAGAATAAAAAGAATGCTCTTTAACAATATAATTTGCCCCATCTGCGAGACTCATGATTAACAGTACATAAGTGATCAGATATACCTCAAGGAACTGAGTTTTAAAAAAATATTACAGTACCAATGATTTCTTTGTATCTACAACTATACAGCATTTTCAAGCAGTATGGAAATTTAATGAAATAATTATGGTTTATTAATTTACATAAAAATACTTTTTACAGTTAAAGAATAAATCTTAAATGGTAAAAAAAATAAGATTAAGAAGCTCCAGCTACTGAGAGTCATGGGAGTTTGTCTGCTCTTCGATAACTTGTTTTACTATTTCTGCCAGTTTTAGTCGATCCACTTTATCCGTGAATCCTCTGCCTGGAAGAGAAGAACAGGTGGTCAGCTGGTGCTGGGCACAAGGAGGAATGCAATCATGACGGGGTCACACACTGAATGCAAAACAATGCTTCCCACAGAAACCTGGGACAGCATTTGCAAGGGAACCAAAATGAGTTAGGATCTCTAGTTCCATTGAAAAAAAGCCCCAAGCACTTAAAAACCTAAATTAAAACCAACCAAAGAAAAACCAGAACAAGTGAAGAGGCACGGCCAAGTCCTCGTGAACCTGGTTGATGCCCCTGCTCCCCTTATTGTCACCAGCATCTGCTCCCGGGGGCTGACACCTCTGCCCCCCTGTTTTGTCCATGAACCATCTGAGCAGCCCCAGGGCAGCTGGCCTGGTTTAATTCTGTTGCCTACACAAGGGATGTTTGTGCTGACACAGATGAGGACAGCAGCCTCCAGCAGAAAGAAAGTAATAAACAGCGGGAAGGAAATCAGCTCAGAACAGCTAACGTGGTTTCTACGGTGATGCTCCATCTGTGGTGCCTTTGAAAACTCTACCCTGAACCTCAAATAGAGATTTTAAAACAGAATTTTCAATCTCATTTCTAGAGCATCCATGCTAGCAGCAGGGCTGAAAGTCTCAAAACCTAAATCAGTCTGACACAAATTCAAGAGATTTGTTTTTATTTCCAAGGAAGGTCACTGCTTCCCCTCTTTCACCTGGTATTAGCACAACCCTCCGCGGAAGAGCAAGAGTTCCTCACCGTTCCAGCTGAAGCTCTGGAGAGTGTCTCGCAGCAACTTACACTCTCGGTTATACTTCCACGCCTCCTGCATCACTTCATTCAGCTTCTCATCTTCATTCTCTCCTGTTTGGGAGAGCACAGATGAACAGGAGGTTTGTCATTCTGCCTCGCAGCAACACTCCGAGCTTCAGTAACAGCACGGGCAGCTATTCCCCCTCGCCTCGCGCAAACCAGGGAATCGGTTTGAAAGCAGACACTCCTCTTTGAAAGTGATTTTAACAGCTCTGACTAGTACTAGGCATGCACCAGAATTCAGCCCGTGGACAACGCTGTCCTCTTTAGACTGACTGGGACAAGAGGAGTTTTGTTGATCCTTCCTCACTACTGACACAGACTGATCCTGGGGCACAGGAAAAAGTCAGCGTCTTGCATGTTTAGGGATGTAACTGATTTCTTCAAAGCGGCAACCTTTACCAGCCTGCGGTAGAATGCACTGAGCTATCACGTCTCGGAGCTTTTCCAGAGCCACGTTGGAATCGTTGCTTCCATTCTCAGGGTCATGGATATAAACACCATCCTTTGGCTTCGTGCTGCAAGAGAGCAAGGAGGAAACAATCACACTCTGAATGCAACTCGAGTCCGTTACTCATTGCATAACCACACCAGCAGAACGCTCCCTTTCACGCTCTGGAAAGCTGGAACTGGGAGCCAGATCCATCATTAATTATCACAAAGTCCTGCATTTTGAGACCACTTTAAATATCAAGAAAAATAAATACCCCTTTAAATTAGTTCAAGGAAGGGTAATCCTAAAATGCATTGTCCTATTTTTCAGACAGGTAACGCGAACAGAGAGAGAAAGAGAGGTTACCTGACTTCAGCAAACAAATGTCAGGATCAGAAAAAAGTATTGGAGTTCTTTCTCCCAGTTTGCCTCACTCAACATGTGAGCCATCTTCTCATAACAGAGCTGTTCCACTCCCTGTACCGTATAATAACACTATCCAACCCCCCTCCTGCCCTCACTGGCAGATCTCGGAAGGCACAACATACTATGCAAATATCACTTGACTCCAACTGCCCACTTTGGCGTGAAGAGTGTGTCAACCAAACCAGAGACTCAGGAGCATGGTTATAATTGAATGCGAAAATTCTCCTGGCATCACGGCTGCCTACACTTTGGTCTTTCAGAAACAGCTTTAGAGATTTACCCCAGTAATTTCCTTTTGCGCAGGATTGGGTTGTTGACGGAGTGAAGGGGTTTGAGGCTGACTTTGAGGTCCTGGATTCTCATGTTCGCAAGCTGTTCTGCGTGAGCCTGCTGGATCCCTGCAACCATTGCCTGGAATGAAAAGAGTTCCACTTGATGTGTTAATTAGCTTCTTTGTGAGTTAAAGAACAATATAAAGACAATGTTAGCCATCGACCAAAAAAAAAAAAAAAAAAAAGCACCAAAATCCTATTTATTTCAGAGATGCGTAACAAAAAACAGATTTGTGTTATGCAAGGTCATTGACCGTGGGACAACACATCCCGACCTCACAGGGGCTGAACAGGACAAAGGATCATCTCTACCACGTGAAAGAAAACACTCAAACCATCCCAGAGCTATCCAGCTCTCCTAGGCAGCGTTCTTGATAAAATAAAATGTCGTTTAGACCTTGTCCATCATCAGCTGGGCAGAGGGGAGGATGTTATCAAGCGCCTCGGTGGAGTTGAGCCAGGGATGGTCCAGCACACCTTCGATGGTCAGCCGCTCCTCGGGTTTGACCTTCAGCAGCCTGGGAGAGGAATCAATCTGTCCATAAAGAGCTCTTTGCTGCTTTACAGCGTGCTGCTCTGCCTGGGATCAGAGCGTGTAGCAATCTCTAAGCATTAGAGGGGCCAAAAAATAAACTCTTCCTAACAACTACAACACTAAGCTGACCCAACAGCAGCCTGACTTTCTATCAGCCTCGCTGCCCCTTGCTGCGGTGAGATTTCAAGGCTCTCGCAGCTCATTCGGTTCTATTCAGCAGCTCAGCGCAAAGAAAGTGCTGAAGGATGTTTTAGCAACAGTTGCGTTCTGCTGAACTCTACATTCACATCCTCCCAGATGGGGAATTATCTTTCAGATGAACTGGAAATGATCCAGACCGACACTGTCTGGAAATGCACATCCAGAGCTCACCCACAGAATAGTCTGTGCTCACACCAAGGACTCTGCGCACGGCAAAGTAAGGCAGCTTCAAAGATGGAAACCCCTTTGCTCAATTAACTGCTTTTACGATGCGACGTCTTAGCTCTCCTGCAGTAACGGACACTTTGGCAGGCTACAGCACCTCAAAACAAGAGGGAACTTTACCCTGAGATCTCTGAAAACTCCATGGAATTGACTTTTAGAACAAAACCCTGGAAAGGGATTTTGCAGCTAAACTCAAGGTAATTACAACTGTTTAATAAAAAATAAGTACAATTTCATCCAGAGTGCCGACAAGTTACCCCAAGAGTCTAAATTAGAAACAGAATGACTTGATGAGCTTGTCACACTTTCTTAGACAATCCTCTAAATCAGCTTCCTGGCTGCAAAGCAGAATTGTTTAATGTACCAAGAAAGTGGAAATAACTCGTACAAAATGTCAGCAGGACCACAGGCTGGCTCAGAAATTTCACTTGCGAGGCCATGCTGCCAAACAGGTCATCAGTTCAGTTTTAATACAAGACCTGAGACACATGCATTCCTTTTCTGTTGGTTTTCAAAGTCCTAACCTGTCATCAAGCACTCCGGCTCAAAGCTTGAGGTCAGACATCAGCTCGATGTGTTTGAGCTGAATTCAAGCAGCTGCTTGAATGCAAACTACGACCTCCAGAAGCAAGACCCCATGTGCAGAGCTGTCTACATAAATAAAATGTGAACTTCTCCAGAATAAAGGCTAAATGTTTTCCTGCACTGTAAACACAGGTTGAGACTCACTGGCTGGAAAAGACGAGCAGGAAAGGGAGTCCTGATAACATTCGGGAGAGAATTCAGTGGAGTGAGCTGAATCCAAGGAACAGCACTCTGAGCTGAGCTTCACAATGAAACCTATCGACTGTGGAGCTTCTGAGTGAGAATAAGGAGGTGACCTCGGTATAAACAGAGGTGTCACTGCACCATAATCTGCAGTCTATTTGGTGAAAGGTTGTGGGCTCTCCCGCACTGCTATAACCAGGTCCCCACACCCTTTCCAAACACTGTTAAGTTCTTGGAGATTTTACAGTACACACAGGAGACAGTGACAGTTTAAAATTATTTAAGCAATTGATTTTTTTATATTTATGTTGCTTTTATCCTTCCAGTTCCTCTGGTGATACAAGCAAAGGCAGTGAGTCCCTCTCACACTTTAAAAAATAAGTGAGGTCAAGACCTCCTCGGTGCCACATTCTTGCTTTCAAACAGGACCATGGCATCAGAGCCTTTGAAACATCTGCAACCGAGAGATGTGCACGGAAAGCAGTTCCATTAGCATTTAGAATAAAATATTAATGCAAAACCTTATCTCCCAGTCTGACACCTTGTGACAGCTCTTTACCTCGCTCTCCATGCCTCTCTCTCGACTCCTTGCACACGGTGTGCTCAGGGTTTTAAGGGGCAGATCTACCAGCTCCTAAACGGCACCTAAGTGTCCCCTGATTTTAGCAGGGGTTTAAAGGTTACCACAGGGGATCCGTGCCCAGAGAGCACCTGCAGGTGTGACAGCTGGCTGTCTGTATTGCTCTGAAGCAAGGAGGTGTAGCTGTTCCCTTTAGAGACTAAACACACAATGCACTCTAGTGAGACAGGAGACATCAGAAATTGAACACAGTGGCTGGGGAGGAAAAAAAAAAAAAGAGGGAAAGAAAAATATTGACCAGACTTAATTTGTGCTGAATATAATAGAAATTTTTTCATCTGTATGTGCTGCAGACAATCCCCCCCACCTTTGGAAACATCAGCCCTTTGTGATAATGCACTTTCAAGTGATTTCCCCATTTTTTAATAACAGCAAAGAGCAATACAACATTTTCCTCGACTGACTCACTTTCGCACAATGTCTTTCGCCATTTCTGAGATCTGGCTCCACTCTTCCTCTGGAAATTCAAAACTTCCTGTCATGATCTTTTTCCGCATGTCCTTTGGAATTGTCCGACTATGGTGTTTGGAGTAAAACGGAGGGTATCCACACAGCATCACGTAAATAATGACACCCAGGGACCACAAGTCACAGCTCTGAAAGCAAGGAAATGATCACTTTGGGGCGCAATTTGCAGCAAGCAGCGGTGTAGCGACGTTAAAAGTTCTACGTGATTCCCTAAGGGAACAGAAACACAGCTCAGCCTCCTCCGAAAGGGTCCATCTGAGGACCTTTGTGGATAAATACGGCAAACACGAACTCCATGCTGCCAAGCTCAACTCCTTCTAGGACCCAAAAGCAGCTTGTTTACAGAAAATACTCCTGGAACTCTGTGCTGTGCGATGGTAAATTGTATGGAAACAGCCCGTGCGTCAGAGGCGGGAGCACGCTGTGCGTTATTACATCTCTCGGGGTACTTGAGTCCTCGTCTCTCAATATCAGAGCATAAAGCAGAGTACAGTCATTTTTTAGAATGTGAGACTAAAAAAGCAACACCATCAAACACAGGAGCTAGCGGAGATAACTCAATCAGAGAGGTTCATAATGAAGAACACACATCCTGAAAGCCACGGAGATGGAGCAGTTTGGAAAGCCCGGAGCGGTATCTCCAGCTGCTCACGCCGTGTCCCCTCCTGCCCTCCCACCCCAGCCTGGAGCTCCCCCAGCCCTTGCCCTGGTGTTACTGCTGATGGGATACTGAACAAGTTCAAAAACCATCTCAGTGACGAAGCTGGAGGCCAGATCTATTCCCCATCTGGATCACTGTGTGTTCATGAAACATAGACACTGCTTGGGAAGAAGGGAAGAGGACCACAGCATCCAGGCTTCCATTCCAGCTTCTGTTGGACCATCTCCTCGAGGATGCGGCTCTGTTACCAGTCAGTTGTGGCACGGTGCAGGCTGGGGCTGGTAGGACCTGCTCTGACCCTGGCCATCCATCCCCAGCACTCCTTCTGTGCCAGCACTAGCATTTGTACAGCTCATTATCTATTTTTACTAGCTTGGTTTCCAGCCCTATCAGCCCTCCCGGGGACTCCCAAAGGTTTACACCAGCCCAAGGACGGACGGGAACACACAGCCAAGCGTAGCAGAAGCCTGAGCTCCAGACAGGTTCAGGTGACTGCGGAAAGACAGGACAAGGGGAGATTTGGGGAGCTGGGGAGGTCCTGCAATCGGTTTACCCAGACAGAATCTGCACAGCTGCCAACAGAAGCAACCATCCTGTCTGCCCCAGGCTGTATATTCCACCACCTGCTTTGGGACAGCACAGGTGTTCATGAAGCTGCACGGACAACCTCAGCAAAGAGGGAACCCCTGACCCCAAAAACTGGTTTTGGACTGGATCAACATGGACCCAGGAAGGGGCCCTCAAAGGTGAGACCATTTCCTTCTGCAGGGAACACACCTAGATCAGCTCATTCTGGTCATTAAATCATACCCTTGGCTTTTGGCTTCTACAAAACATGTGGATGCTGAAAACAGAAGAATCTCCAGGGAGTTACCCCACGTACATGTGCTTTTCAGCACGCTGCTTAAGCCAGTCTCAGATGGTCCTAGAAGTCTAAATTTCTACTTAGATACCTAAATTCTCATAATTTTTCTAGTGACCAGAGAGGATTTCTAATGAAATCCATTGGACTTTAGGCATGTAAGTAGGAAACAGGCATCTGAATTCTTTCTGGATATGGCTCCCAGATTCTGTTTCTCAAGAGTCAACCCCTCCAGCCATGCCATCCTCACTTAGAGCAGACCCAGTACACACACAGCTTAATAAAAATACCCAGGGAATCACACCCAGGGAATCAAAGATGTGTTTCTTCCTCCAATTTAGATCTGTGGGATAGAGCTGCTGATCATGAAGGTGGATCACAGGCATTTCCACTCGGGCTCTGAACTGCTGCGGAAGGACAGTGTCCCCGGGAGTTTATCACAGGCTATTTTGGGGAACCAGGCACATGCCAGATGCTGCTTTTCCAGTGAGTCACACTTGGCAAGGTAAGGACAAGGCTGGTCCTTCCAGCAGCCTTTCCAGTTAGTGCCACCATGACTGAGAGCAGTTCAGAGCGACCCATCAGTTCTTTAAATGAAACATGGAAACAAAATCATTGGATCACACTGTAACCCCAGAAGATCAGGGCAGCTGAACCTCACCAGCATGCGAGTTAACTCCAGTTGATAACCGTTTCCAAGGTTCTTCCACTCTGTACAAGAATATGGCCCATATTTATCTTCAGTTGCCATGGCCAGGGCTCTTTGGTTCATTAAAAGAACAAAACAGCTGTCAAACTGTTACCAACACGAACAACCACTGAGCACGAGCAACCACTTCCAGGTGTCTCTGGGACTGCATCTACCTTCTTACAACAGAAGAGAGAGGGCTGTTCCTGGAGAGGAGATCTGCTTCCGTCCACAGAGGTGGAGTTCTTGAGCCTCGTGGGACTTTCAAAATGCACAAAAAACAACTTTCCCTGTGACTGGGGGTCACACAAGAGAAGGCAGAAGAAACTCTGTATTGACAAGGATATTGGCAGCTGTCTGAGAACTCTTTTTATAAGAAGTGTCTGGCTTCAATCATCAAGCTATTTCTCCAGGATGGAGAAGAGACAATCAACCCTGAGGAAGGTGGATTTGTGACTAGGAAATCCATGCAGACTAATTCAGTGAAAATTATCTCTGCCCACCTTTGCTTTAGCTCTCTCCAGAAGGCAACTAAACCATAACAGTAAATAGCAAACTACCCCCTCCAGCACGTGGTTAAACAACCATCCTTGGAGCTGGGATCAGTGCAGATACTTAGCGCTGCCACCAGAAACCAGCCAGCAGGAGAGAGTGATGCTGATATGGAAGAAAATGGTTTGGAATGACCAAAAAGCAGCACAACCTTTCAGGACACTTTCTGTTGACTCTAGCAGCAGCAGCTATTGCCCATGGCTACAGCCAACACAATACACCACTGGCCATTTCGCAGAAGATCGCCAATGCAGATAAGGTCCCATCACAGCTGACTGAACAAAACAGCCTAAAAAGAGCTTTGCATATCCAGAAACTCCGGCTGACAGCAGAAAAGAGGATTCCTTTGAACCAGTCTCTTGTGGAGGTGAAAGAACTTCCCACACGGTCACACTCCAGCAGGATCATTCTACTCCCCCCAAAATATTTTTAATCTTTAGTGCTCCTTTAAGAACGTTTGTATATTTTAACCTTAATTAAAGGATCATTAATTGGGCTTGGACCAAGCGTGTGTTTCATATTCTCTCCATCAGAAAAATCGCAGAGGCAGCAGCACCTTTTAGTTCTAAACCGAGAACGACAGCTACCTGCACAATCTTCTAATTCTCCAGTTCAACTGAACAAAACCTGGTCTGAACATTTAAGGGCAGAAATACCACTGCATACTTGTTCACTCTTTTTAGAAAAGCCAAAGGAACCACACTTTTGCAAAATACAGCCCCAGAGATACTGCCTCCTTCCCGCTGCACACACACAGACAGCGAGCAACGTGACACTTCCCTCCTGCTCCCTGCAGATCCTGCTTCTTACTCTGCGTGAGATATCTGGGCAGCGAGATATATTCCTGACACAGTGATCAGAACAACTTTCTTGCTCCCGGCCATAAGTGTGTTAACTTCAGGGCAATTCTGGGCAGTGAGATATATTCCTGACACAGCAATCAGAACAACTTTCTTGCTCCTGGCCATAAGTGTGTTAACTTCAGGGCAGTAAAGTTTATTGCCTTAGGTGATAAACTGTGTCTACAGACTCCTACCGCAGAGATATCAGGAGGCGGGGGGAAGACACTGCTTCAGAGATACTGGCTTGTGGACTGTTCCGCAGCTTACCTTGTTGTAAGTGTAAGGTGTTGGAGAGGTGGGGATAATGCCAGATTTTTCCTTCTGATGCCGTCTTTGTGCCTCCAATACCTGTTGCCATGAGAGGAAAAAAAAAAAAAAAAAAAAGGCAAAATACATCTCATCTGCAGGCACCACAAAAAGCAACGCCTCTGCCAAACACGCCTGATGCTCTTCCGTTCGGTGGATTTATTCCAGCAACTGAAGACTGCCAAACTCAAACCGTTCTTCCTATGAAAGGCTGGAACTTTCTACATGGGGAAAATTTCACCTAAAATATTTTGCTGCTTTGGATAAAAACTCCAGTTTTTCCTGAATTAAAGCAATTGCTCATATCACTTCTGTTCAAAAACTCTTCACAGCTTCTTGCTTTGGAACTAGACCTTAAAGTGTGTTTGGAGGGTAACCCCAGCTCCAGAGATGTCCCTTCTTACCTCTGCCATGAAAAAATCAAATCAAATTTGTCCCTCACTGGTCAAATCTGGGTTTCTACAAAAATCTCAGTTTAAATATGCTTAGGATAAATATGCTTTTTACGGGTTTGGTAGTTCACCAGCAGGCTCCAGTTGAGAGGCATTTTCCGGGCACTCGACCGTGGCTGCACAGTCTGATCTCTGGAATTGCTCTTCCCAGTCATTAAGGGCTGCCAACACGCCCAGTACTGCAATTAAATATCCATCTGCACTTTACTTTTAATTTTCTTCAGGATTCCAACACAAAGCACAAAGAGAGTGGGGAAAGCAGCGCTACAAAACCCAGCCTGTCTGTAATCACAGATTATATCTTAACACACAGCGACAAGGGGCCAAGCCAAGGTGAGCGGGTAACCCTCCGGCACTGCCCTCTTTTTGAGCAGCCGCCTTTACAGAACCTTTTTGTTCCAGCATAGTCCTGTTTAATGTCATCTTGTATGACCCTGAGGTGGAAGAAGGATTGCGAGGCAGGGACTTTTCCAAAACAACCACTTTAATACAGCTGAAGACCAACTGTCAAAATCCTGGAGTAGTCTCACCAGTGCAAGTCAGGAGGCATCAGCTATCAGCCGGTGCTAAGAGCACAGTCTGGGAAACCTGCCTCACGATCCCCTGCTGTAATCAACAGATCACCGTGGCACTCCATCTCGAAAGGTGGCTACTACACAATTACTCAAGATTCCTGCACCCAGAAGCCCTTAGTAGGACAGCAAAGACTTTAAAATGATGTGGTTATGGGAGGCACAGGCAGTAAAGATCATTATTCCCCTTCAGCCTAGCACTGTAACGGTTTCTTACCTGAGGTGCTACGTAATACGGAGTGAACTGGGGTGTCATCAAGTCACCTTGGTCTACTTTGGCAAATCCAAAGTCACACAATTTAACAGGCGCATCCTAAAACAAGGAGGAGAGGTTTCATTACCAAATCTCATCGTATCAGCTTCTCTCATACATCCTTCTCACCTTGTACTCATCTTACCTTTGCCACACACACTTCTCTTTCGTATTTATAGCCTTACCCTTCCACAGAGCAGCTAAAGGGTCATAAAGGGACCTTTGAAACAAAGATTTGTGTTTTCCTGGGTGCTCTGGGTCAAAAGCAGCCCCCCTCCTCCCAGCTCTGGAAAGCACTGAGCACATTGCAGGGGTCACTGCATAGGCAGCGGGGTTATGAGCAGGAGAAGAAAGAAACAGGCAAGTGCTTGTATACGTCGAAGCATCTGTAATGCATGTCAGAACATCCTGGGACACCCAGGGAGGAAATGGGGCAGAGCAGATCCCCTCAGCAAAGCAGGATCCTGGGTTGAGGTGGAGAACCTGAGCCCTGCTCAACAGCAGCAGCAGGGACAGACCCAGCCCTCCAGGCGGGTCGGAGTATGCAGAAGCACCAAGCCAAAAAGGTAATTTATTTTTGTCACCAAAATATTGCATTAATGTCATTTTCCACCTATTCTGAAAATCGCCATCGAGCCATTTTACAGAATTCAGCAGTAAACAAAGAATTCCAAGTCTTCATCTTACCAGAGAGTTATCCTTGAAGAGGAGATTCTCGGGCTTGAGGTCTCTATGTGCAATGTTTAACGAGTGGCAATGCTGCAAAGCCAAAGCTATCTGAAAAAGGGCACAACACATCAACCACGATTACAGAATTCCTCCTTCAGCTGAGCTTCCTTGCACGCTCTCCAGCAATCACATTCTGTCTAACAGCCAACAGTGAGCTCTTGGTTCAGTATTTCAGTGAATATTTTATTGCATTTGTCACTGACTTAAGAGTCAACATTCAGGCAGTCTTATTCTTTAATTCTTGATGGTGCTGCCTGCAATTTACTCATTTCATGGGATATTACACAGAAATTCATGACTTGATTCTTTCCAAGACAGCTTCTTACCCTGCTGTGGGTTAGAAACCCGTAACCCAGTCACGAGAGCTCGCCAGACTGTACCTTTGGAAGTGCAATTCATTTAAAGGAAACCAAAGCATAAACACTCAAACAGCATCACTGAAACAAAAGTAAGGCAAAGCCACACGACCCTTCTCTGGAAATACTCCTACTGTCTCCTGTAGGATCCTGCCCAAACGCAGTACCCAGGGTGAAGCGCTGAGTCCTTCGAAGACTGTAAATTACTGTGACATGAGAACTTCAGTGTTAACGTAGCTCAGGAACAAACACATTCCCAGAGAAAATGAAGTAGCTTTGGGACAAGGTTTTATCTGCTACTGGCTACAAGGAACCAAGACCCATAGCTCAAGACAATCACGAAGAACCACTACATGAAAGGAAAAGTCTTTAACATGGCTTTCGAACTTCATTTGTATAAACATTAAAGCAAAGAGTTACTTGGGACATGAATACCCTAAGTGTACACACAGTCAGAATTCAGTTAAAAGTCTTGTCTTTTGGGATCATTTAAAAATATTTTCCCAACAGGTTAACCCTGGAGACTGCCTTGCATTGTTGAAATCAAACGGCCCAAAGGACATGAAAACAAACTGTCAAGAATAATTCTGTACTTCACCTAATCTCTCTGCTGGATGAAACCAAAAGGGTCATAGCACAATTAGCATTTCATTAGAAACAATTCAAAGCACAAGACAGAAAGATGCAATGATTTGGGCGTCTTTTTTCCCTCGGTACCAAACACTATCTCTCCAGCTTAGGGGGAGCAAGTGACCAGGATATGGATATATTCATAAATAGTCACAGAAACGTACAACAAACGCTGTAATATCTTGTCTCCTGTTTCCTGTACTCACTGCAGTGACCACTGGTGTGAGAGCAGGACATTTCCTGCTGGGTATCACCAGGATAGCCTCTCACCTACAGCTCACATCTCTTGTTTGGAGTGCAGATAGAACCTCTGCAGGAAGCACACAACGGCAGCTCTGTCCCCTGCTCCACGCTGCGGTGCCCATTCCCACGCAGCAGAGCTCAGCCGTTCTGACAGCAAAACCCTTCTGCCTTGTGGGTCCTTACACCAACCTGCAGGTCCTCTGCACGGCTCCCAGAAAGGCTGTCGGACATACCGCCACACCACCTTCCCTGCAACCCTCCCGCTAATCCGAGCGCTCTGGCTGGGCACCACAAGTCATCCAACAGCTTGGGAGTGACAGGGAACAAGTTCACCCCAGAACCCAGAGGATCCCCGCGCTGAATCCCACCGAGCCCCTCCTGCTTCGCCATCCTGCCTGCTCTTGCAAGATGCAAGCTAGTCACCCCAGATGCACTCCTAAGAAACAACGAGCCTGGTGGACACCAAAACCTCTAGTGATAAATACCGTGCTGGCTATAAAACACAAATCCAAGAGTGAGTTGCCTAGAGAATGGAGAGGGAAAAGTGACGTGGGAACAAACAGCACAGAAACATGCACTGTCGTGGGAAATCCTCTGGTTATCTTCCACGATAGGCAGGAGGACTTCCATAAAAAAAAATACAGAACCCAGCTTGAAAACCACTGGCCTGGGACACACGTACGATATTGTCTGCTACCCTGTGCAAAAAGCGAGAGAAACGCCAAGTCTGTGTCCCGGCCAAGAATGATCCTCAGACTGGAGCTCCAGAGCCACACGTGGTCTGGTGAGAGCCTGCGGACTGCTGGAGGCAACACTTTCAGAACAACAGCAGGAAGATTGTGTGAGAAAAGAGCTCTCTTTGGTGAAGTGCTCTGTAGAGCAGGGTAGGAAAAAATCATCGCTAAGGACAGCAGAGACACCGGGGTCCCAACCCAAAGAACTAGCCCCCACCTTCCAACTCTTTGCTTCTATTAACACTTTGTCATTGTCAGGTTATAACAAAGCAGGCAATGATCATCGGATCAGAACTGAGGATTATTTTAGCTTCCCTTTTTCCCACCCCCCAGCCCAAGGAATTGTTAAATACTTTCGCCATTATCATTCATGGATTTGCTTATACATGGGTGTTGACTTGCCTGCTTTGTTACTTGGCTTGCTTGCTTCTCAGTAAAGTGCCGGTGCTGGCTGATTCTGTGAAAGAGCTCTCCCCCTTCCATCATCTCCATTACAATTAGGAGCCGAGCCCTGTTCAAAAGCATTTCGTTATATTAAGAATAATCAGAAAATAACAGAATTGCTAAGCTAACAATGTAAACTTCACATCTACTGACACGGGGCCAAGAAAGAGACATATACTTGCTGCTTCTACAGCTGTTACAGCTATTTTGGGTCCGTAATTTTGCCTTTAAGCATATAAACTGCAGGATTTTCTGACTGCAGGATTTTCTGGCTCCCAGCACAATCTGACTCGCTGGTCAGCCAGGAATCTACAGTTTGCTCTCGGTGTTGGGCTCCCACATCCAGCTGGAACCAGCACCATGGACGTGTCGACAGGGATGCACCCCCGCCAGCTCCACCCGCGCTTCCCACCAGCAAAGCCAGTTTGGACCTGGAAGCCATTTAGGCACATGGACGTGTAACTCTGCCCTCAGAGAATAACGCAGCAGGTAGAGCCTTGCACCAAACAGGCTGAGCAGCTCCCAGGCTGGAGTTGTCTGGGAGCACGGGACACGCTCGCCTGCGCCCATCCGTGCAAACACGCCGACCTGTCTGTCTGCCTCGGCGCTGGAGATCCTCACGGCAGCTTAGAAACAGGTTGAGGGATTATCTTTAATGCTTTTGAGTCTGGATACTCCACTGTACCTCATTATTTTTGTGGATGCCCCATCCCTGGAGGGGTTCAAGGCCAGGCTGGATGAGGCTTTGGGCAACCTGGGCTGGTGGGAGGTGTCCCTGCCCATGGCAGGGAGTTGGAACTTGATGATCTTTAAAGTCCCTTCCAACCCAAACCATTCTATGATTCTATTATTTTAATTTACAGTTTTATTGACATAATTACGAAGGACAACGAATAGAAAGGACTGCTAGATCAGGAAACTCCCTTCTTGTTCTTCTCATCACACAGCAACATCAGATACATCGGAGACTAAGGCAGGTCTCAGCTCTTTAATTCTCCCAGCTCTGATTTTTTTTTTTTTCTCAACTAACATCCAATTAGAAAACAGCATTTTTATCCCACGCAATATTAATGTGTGAAAAACAATCAGTCTGCTTCACATCCTGCTAAGTTCATTTTAAGCAGGACAATGTATTGCGAGTTTACAGGGCAGAACCTTCTATTTTTAGAAACAATTACTTTATTTTTTTTTAATGAAGACTGGCACTCTGAGTTTCCCAGTGGCTCACGGGCATCACCATCATGTAAAAAGATCTCACTTAGGTAGCAACAAAAGGCGCAGCTCCAGTCCTGCTTTAACAGCGCTTTGGAAGCAGGAGGAGGCTCCAAGGTTACAATTCAACTGCAGCTACTAAAGCACTATCAAAGCAGGACAGAAGCCTGAAGCTAGTATACTATCTCAGACAATGCAGGTATCAGAGACTGAATCAACAAAAAAACCTAAGAAATGAAGATGTATTCAAACCCAGTAACAAATTCATTTAAATACGCAAAGGTCTGGGCACTGCCAGGGGAAAAAGCAAGCGCTGCTCAGCCTGAAATATAAATCTGAAACACCCTGTAAATATTCATTTTGGTCACACTGTGATTAAAAAAAAAAAAGCAAACTCCACTATACCTTGGCCTAAACATGGAAAGCAAGCTGTGGGCATGAATCACCCCATGTAATCTTACCTTGGGCTGGATTCGTGTGGGAACTGCACGCTGTTAGCATAAACTTCAATAATCTGAACAATATTTGGATGTGTTGCACACATCATGTGCAGACGTACCTTGAAGAGAAGGGAAGAAACGTTACTGTACGTGGTGGCACGTACTTGACCAGTCCTGCCCCTCCCTTAGCCCCCCCAGCTGTGCTCAGCACCAGTCACACCCAATTTAAAAATATTCAAAAAATAAGAAGTGGCTACAAGCGCTTATCTGAGTGACCAGCAGCCACACTGCTTGGACTGAGTAGGAAAAAAAATCATAAATTGTCAACGTATTTGTTACAGACCATGGAATCAAACCCGACGGTTCCAGGAAAAGCCCAACCTTTTATTTATTTGGGTATTTTAAATAAATTTAAAGCTAGAACTAGCAATAGAGATTGAACTGAAACAGAAAATTCATGAATAAGACCTGAGATTCCACACTGCGGCTCCTTCTACGGCCTCAAGGTCTAACACATGAAACCTCATCTCCTGTTCCAACTTTCTGAAACGGAAACCTAGGGAATTTTCCCCAGTTTCAAGCTACCTGGGACTGCTAAATCAAGCCAAAGCCTGTAAACAGATTATTTTTCCCTGGGAATTTTAAAAGAGAATTTGCTGAGTAACAAGAGATGGCAGTTGCCGGAACCTGGAGGACCATTAACGCTTTTTTCCCTTTCATGGCAACCTGAACGCCCATTGTTTCCAACAGACAGAGGGTTTGGGACCGTGGCAGCTCCTGCCAGCCACAGAAAGTCACAAAGGGGATCGGTGGGGTTACTGAGTTTCTCGCACAGAGATAAACCCGTACCATCTACAGTGCAACTCGAAGCATTCTTGGCCATTCTGTGACATCCAAGGGTGAGATGGATGGGGACAAAATCAGCTCTAAGCTACGCATGTCACACTACAGGGGACACAGGGAGAACCCCAGCTTAAAGGCAGCTCTGTAAGGGACATTTATACACCTACAGCTAACACAGGGTCAGAAAGCCCCTCTGCTCCACCCACCACCTCTGGGAACTGAGCACAGCAAGGCTGGAGGATCGAACCCAAAGAATCTCGCACAGCAAGGTCTCCAGAATACGCTTTTTTTTTTCTTTTTTTTTTAAACTAGCACAACAATTCACCGAAAGGGCGAGATGTGCGGCGTGTCAGAAGGCAGACAGTACAAACAGGAACTATACCTCATTTCTAGCTTTTGGACGATCGAGAAGAATTTTCAGTGCAAAGCGTTCTTGCGAGGATTTTTTCACGCAGACTCTGGTATGACAGCAATACAATTATTCGGTCAGCAAGAATGTTAAAGAGACACTTCAAGCAATTGATCTGCAGTTATGAATTTGCTCTCCACATGGGAATTCAGGTGAATGCCCACAATCTGGAGCACACAGCCTTCCCCACCAACCCAAGACATGATGCAGAAACATCTCACGCACAGTTTCAACGATGCAAAAAAAGGAGCTGGGGAACGGCAGCCAAGCAGCACGTGCTCTGTCCATCCAGCCTGAAAAGATACTTTTCAGGGAAAAAACCCAAACCACACAGTGGCAGCCTGAACACCTCCAGAGGAGGGTGCAGCCAGCCATCAAGGAAGCGGTTCTGAATGGAAATCCCTGTTTCAGCAAAGCCACCAACTGCGCCGCACGCGGGTTTTCTCGCTTTCCCCCATTTAACATTAACAATCGACCTGCGGCAGAGGGAAGGGCTTACATACTAACAGGCAGCTAACAGAAAAAAAAAAAAAGAACAAAGGGATATTTTAATAAAGACCAGAAGCAACACAGCACCAGAAAACGGATGAGGAGAAACCAATTGCCTGGACAGGAAGATAAATGGTGGCCAGAGACAATCGCCCAGGAACAGAGGCGCAGACATTTGTTTTCCAGCACACATTCCCCTCGTTGAAAAGGGAATATGTGTCTTGCTTTACAGAAAGCACCCAGGTCCTGCAGGGCTTGGAAATTCCCGACGGTTTGGGATGCAGAGTTCGTGGCACTATCTGCTTCGGCCTCACATGATGATGTGAAAAAATAGCCGGTAAAAATAGCTAATGGGTGCGCGGCGCTGATGCCCCCAGTGACGATACCGTAGACGGGAGCAGCGACCTTTGCACCGCGCTGACACCAGGATCAAAAGGACAAAGGTGTCGGAGCAGAATTCTCCGCCGCCACCATTTCACAACCGCTTAGCGTCAGGAATACGGCAGCGAGACGGGAGAAGGTGGAGAATCAAGGAGAGTTTTGACTCCAACCATAGCCCATAAGAGACAATACCTCGCGTGCACATCCTCCCACGCGGAGCGGAGACATTTATTTGTTTATAAAGAGTTTTCCACGTGTCACATCACAATTAACACACATCCTCACTGCTCCCCAGCCGATGCACCGGGCTGATTCCACACCAAGCCGCAGGTTCTTGTCTTACCTAACAGGACCACTGATCCCAGCTCCCAGCTTCTGAGTCCAGTTAATGTTGTACTCCTCTAAAATGGAGGTTTCCTAGTCAAGAAGGAGCAGGGGGAGGGGAAAAGAGAGTAAAAAAAATAAATTACTACATCCCTTCCAAAAAAAACCCAGCTCAGCAGACCTGATCTGCAAGATACCCAAGCAGAGAAAGAGCCTGCTTTGGGGTTTTGCTGCACCTGGGAAAATCACACATGAATACAAATGCTTACATAAGAATATATCTCAGTTTAGAATTGTTTCCATGCAGCTGAGACTGCTCACCCTGGCGTTTGGAAACAGGATTATTGAGAACAGTAAATGGGATCTCGCATCTTTAATACCAAAAGCGTATCAAGGGCACGTTTCCCCCCCGACTCTAAATCCAGCTTCCTTCCTACAAATGACCAACTGCAATGGAACACAACGGCGCAGTTACAGCATTATTACTATGTGCTTTCTGGGCACACGGGAGAGCGGAAAATGATTGCGCTGCTTTCCGAGGGTTTGCAAACCTTTGGAATCATTACACCGCGCATTAAACCCTGCGCAACTGGTTTCAGCCTGTCTGATAATGAGCCAGGCTCGTGTTTATAAACCTTTTGTCCAAATTCAAGCGGGTTGGGTTTGGGTATGACACAGCTCGGCCGCTATCATGCTTCAACATGTCGCAAGGCAGGATGCAAAGGCAGGGTTTGGATAAACGCCGCTGCCGGGCGCTGCGACGCAGCCGGTGACAGAACCACGGAGCAGGGCTCCACCGCAGAAATGTGGGGTGGAAACTCAACGCAGAGGAATACACGGCATAAAATCCTGCTTTGGTCTTTTCTAGACGTTGCTACCTGTGTTCAGGATCATCTCTCGAAAAGCCACAATTTTGGATAAATTTTGAGAAAAGGAGATGGAACAAAAGCTGGCACCAGAGGAAGCAACCAGGGAAAATCCTTCCCAAACACACTGAAAACAAATGGGAGAGTCCACGGCTGGCAAAAGGATGGAAAACAAAGCAAAAGGGGAAAGTTGATATTTAAGGGGAGATTTGAAGGGATTTGAGAGTTAAAAAGACAGCTATGAAAGGGAAAATTGCTTTTTAATGCAGTCTGGAAGGGGTCTCACACAAATCATAAATGACTGGGGGGAAAGGTGTAAAGGAAAAAGTTAAATTTCACTTTTAACTGGAGATTTTATGAAAGGTTTTAAAAGAAAGGGGAAGAAGAGCATCATGGATCCCACACAGTTTGTTGTTTTCAAGGAGAAGCACAAAGAAGCTTTCTTACCAATGTAACTAACCTAAATTTCACTCGTGAGAAGTGTATTAGGGAAAAACCAATTTAATTTTCCTGATGTTCAGGTTCAGAGAATTGAAGATGTCATTGGTGGAATTAAAACACCATTTTACACGAGCATTAATGAGCAGAGAAAAGCTTCCTCTGAACCGGGGAGTGTCTCTTCAGCACACACTTTCAAGATCACAAACCTGCCCCCTGAAAATATCAAAATCTGTTCCAGCTAGGAAGCTGAAAGCCTCGCCTCTCCAGCCTGATCAACGTCCTGCGGGGTGCGGTGTCCTGTACACGGCTGCACGTCTGGAGGATGAAATGCCCCACGGCAGCGCTGAGCCTGAAGACCGGCTGACGGGTCAGCTGGAACTAATCTGTTGTGGCTGGGAACAGAGGAGGCAGAAAAGTGCTGGAGAGAGCTTTCCAAAAAAATCTGCAGTGGTGCAATTTCTTACTGTAAATCTTTTTGCTCCTACTGTAAAGGAACTTTAAACTTCTGATCACTCCTTACGTTAATTTCCAGGGGGCAAAGGGAATAAACTAATTGGAAATGCATTCATTTACAAAAAAGTTTCCCACAAACTAAGAACTGAGATCTCTCCAACAGCACAATGCCCTTTCAGCGAGCTCCGGGTACCTAAAATAACGGTTCGAGCATCCGCCCGCGCAGAGTCAGCAGCCTGGGACGCGAACAGCCTGGGAAGGCAGGACTCTTGAGATTTCTCCTTGCTTCCTCTCCAACAAGCTGCTTTCAGACAGGGTGAGGCAGCGGGACCGCTCGGGAAAGAGCTCAGCCGCTCCTCAGTTTCCCCCGAATGCAAACGGGAAAAGGTTTGAAATCAGGTCCTTTAAGAATAACGCATCCTCACTACCCAGACTGCTGCCTGGACAAACTCCACGTATCCAACAACCAGCGTAACTCCACCTCCGCTGCTCCCACACGCAGCCTTCCAGCTCCAGCTACTCTGCCTTAACCAGCGATCGCTATCTGGAATCGCAGACCTTAAACCTGCGGACCCAGGTGAAAACCAATCAAACCTGAACGGTAACCAAGTATTTGAGAAGCAGGGAAATCAAGCACCATATATAAAAATACTAAATTATGTTTTAGATCCTGACAACGCCTACAACCCAAAAGATTTGCCCAGAATCTGTTCTTGGTCACAAGTCCTCCAAACTGCGAGGGGCAGGAGGCAGACACAGGACCCTCCCTACACTTACTCTGCTTTTGCTTTTTTTGTTTTGTTTTAACCCCCAAGAGCTCTGATATAGATCTCTACCTTCACATTAAATAATTGGAAAAACTCATTTTTGAAAGCTTTCTGGACAGCTACTTCACCTGCACTGGCCCAGGACTGACACAGGAAGAGACAGCAGATAATTTCAATGCTTGATCTCACGCCTCCGTTACCATCTGGGTTGTCTGAACACAGCGCTTCGACTTCCTTCTACTTTGGCCTTTTTCAGTTCAAAAGGCAAGACCCCCATTTTGTAAATCAATCCAGATTTCAACAACACAAGACTGCGTTGCTACTTCTCTCACATTGATTTTTGCCCCCAAGGAGCTTTGTAAAGACAAATCCCACCCTGGCACA